AAACATGGTAGAGAAGCGGAACTTGCTCACCTTTACAGCTCCAAACACAACTACAATCTTACTAAGTTTCTTGAATCCAAATATGAGTTGGCTGCTAGGTTTGACAATAAAGTTTTTGTATTTATTCTTGATGTTAAGTCCTTCTCTTTCAGAGTTGAAAGATTTGCTAAATTGATGATCTTGTTGTTATCAAGTTTCTTAATGATTTTTGATGTTTTATTATTGCTATCTTGTTTTTGTTTTTTATTAAAAGTGAAAGAATCTGAATTTTTTCTCTTGGGAGTTTCCTTTTCCTTTCTCTTGTCCTCTTTTGAGATTCTAAAATTGATAAATGTCTGCTGATTCGAAATTCTTTCTATGTTAGGATCAACACATAGATTGGAAATTTCTTCTAGCTATTTTTCTCTTGAATTGTAATCATCATGTATGTCTTGGATGAATGCTTGATGATCATAATCATTATTTATGTCTTGGCTGCTTATAATAGATATTGATGCATTAAAAGATCTGCTCGGTACACAATATCGCATTAAGCAGACTTAGTATGGGTGAAATTGATTATTTATTACAATCTTTTCTATGTTTATATTTTCCCCTTTCATCCCAAACACATTTAACAATGTGGCGTTTAGTCTGGTAAACTCGATGAGATTACCAAAATCATCTGAATTACTATTATGTTTAAAATAATTTTTTATGTCTGAAACTATATTCTTCTCATTAGATATTCATCTGTTATCTTCATTCAAGCAGCCACCTGTTTGGTTAATAAATTCATTGATTTCATATGATTGCTATCATAAACGATCATTTCTAATGAATTATTAGAAAATCTCAAAAGTGTCACCTCAATATTCTCAAAAGAATCAATAACTCGATAGATTTACACTAAATTATAATAATCTTGTTGTTATAGTTAGCAATTATATCGATGCCTCCATCACCCTGCCTCATCTTAATCTCATATGATAAGATACCATGCTTATTCAAGATCTTGGCAATGGCAGATTCGAAGTTATGGCCAATCTTGTGATTCAAATTCTGGATTCTCGGCTATTATTGTCTCAAAAAGATTTTATTGGTCCATACTCAAATTCTTGTAACCAAAATTACCTCGACCGTAAACTAGTGGATAACGAAATTTATCAGCTAGAGTATTTTATAATTATAACCACTTGGATGTCAATTTGTATATTCAATTAAAAAAAATGCAATCAATTTAGAGGTTGTATTTGACAGAAAAAGAATTAAAAATTGTTAGTACAAGATTCTTATTTATCTCATATTTAGTAGCCAATTTCACCAAGATATAACTTGCAAACCGGCTTAGTTTCTATCAAAAATAGAATTCATCCTTGTATTTTTCTTAGAGAGAGTAAAAGAAACATCTCATAATAAATCTCTTTTGATTTGAGATAGTGTAGCTTTAGAATTACATATCTGCTAAGTAAAAGGCATAGCCATCTTATCTTTTCTTGAATTATCATCATTGGTTACTAGTATGTAGTTAAAAATCTATTTGGTTATACGAGACTGAATAGATTAAAATCACTTTAGTTATTTTAAATAATACAACCAATATTAATAAAATTAAATAGTAAGAGCACTAGTTATTGAGTTTGCAAGAGTATTAACTGCCTGATCTTTTCTTCTAGAAATTGATGGAATAACTGTCGGTATGATTTTTAAGTAGAGAAAATGCATAGCTATGATAAGTCGTTAAAAAGAGCATAGAGAATCAATCTGATCAATATCAAAGAAAAGAATATTGTGTTGAATAAACAAATGCCTGTACTTTGCGAGGCAGGAGGTGGCTATCTTGTAGTCATGTCTTCCAGAGATCCAATTGTCATGGATCTGAGTATAATCAAGAAGAAAATATTTTTGTGAAAGCTTATTAGATATTTCTTTATGATCCTTGTAAAGATGTAGTATAAAATATTTCTTCCCATTAATAATATTTGGATAAATCCAATTGCAAAAATTGCAATGAATTCTACGTGATGATAAAATACAATATTCAAATAATAAATCTTGAGATATCTTGATTTACGTAAAGAAAAATCTGTTTGGTCTTCGACTGAATAGATTAGTTAGCTATTCTCTATTCTCATTTTCTTTGCAATGCATTTAATTGTACCTATATTAAACATGACATCCTCAACAATGATTTGTCACTTTTTGTTAACTATTTGTTTACTTTGTGAAATTCTTTTTAATAATGTGGATAATGTAAAAATTGAAATTTTGGTAACTGAATATCTAGTTGTTATTTCATTTAGAGGTCTAGGGATAACTGGATGTCCAGTTGTTATTTTTTTAGTGTTTGCTAGAAGTTGTTTTTTTGATAAATCTTTTTACAAAGACTATATTTGATATTATTATTATTATATGTTAAAATATTTTAGTATTTTTTTTCTTTTGCTTTTTTGGGTTACATAAATAAAAATCTATTCGGTCACATAGTATGACTAAATAAATTAAATTTACTTTTATTATTGCTTATAAACTTGTTAACTATACAATATTCTTGTCTCCTGTTATTATTTTAAAATATTAATACAAATATAATATTAAATAATAATAAGACTATTAATCAATACGCTTGTGAGAATATCAATCTCCTGTTCTTCTTCCTTAGAAATCAATTAAAGAACTATTGGCACAATCTTTAATTAGAGAAAATACATAGCCATGACAAGCTGTTGATAAGACCAAGAAGAGTTAATCTGGTTAAGATTATGGTAAAGAATATTGTAGTAAGAGAACAGAGGCTTGTACTTTGTGAGGCAGGAGGTGGCTATCTTATAGTCATGTTTTTTAAAGATTCAATTGCTATGAATCTGAGTATAATCGAGGAGAAAATATTTTTGAGAAAGCTTATCAAATATATTTCTATGTTTTTCATGAAGATGCTGTTTGAAATATATTTTTGAAATTAAAATATCTGAATAGGTCTAGTCACAATAATTGCAATGGATTTGAAATCTAAATTGGGTACAATAGTCAAATAATGGATTGAGAGACATTTTAAGTTATACAGAAAAAATCTATTCAGTCATTTGACTGAATAGATTATTGATACAAAATTGTTTTATAATATAATATAACAAAAATACAAGATTAAAAATAAACTATTTGCTAATGTCTTCAACGAACATATCTGCCATATTATTTTTTTTTTTCTCTTTCCTGCTTTGGAGAGGGTGGCACCATTCTCGATCAAGTTTTCAGATTTTCTCTTTCTTACTGATGCTGATTCCTTGGCCTTTATAGAGCAAAACTTGGCATTGATAGCATTCACGATCTCTTTCCTCTTTGAGTACAAGGATGGTGTGAGATCGATTAGCTTTGCAAATCCATTGTGTCAATAGGTACTATTCAGTATTATTTTGTGGCTCAGTCTGTTTGGGGATTTGGTCTCTGACTAGGGTGAAATAGATCGCGATGTTGTAGGGGCACTGCTTCCCATCAAAAAATTGATGAAACCCAGAAGTCTTATTGACATAATATAGCTTGTCAATCTTGATTTCTGCCTCTTCAGAGGCCTCATGACGTGCACAATCCTCAAACAATTCTCCTAGTTCAAGTTTTCCACCTGTTGCTTGCTAGTGCTGATGATAATCTTTAAAGAGATTAATTCATCTAGAGAGCCAAACATTTTTGGTATTAAAAACCAAGAGGATGATGCTAAAATTATGCTCATTCGTATTATACTTGTCAATTTTTTTTCTAACTTGATCCCGAAGATTTTTGTTTATCTCAACCTGGTTGTAAATCTGGGTATATGTGGGTTTAATAGTTATTTCATACTGTTGTAGCTTCTTTAAAGAATCTAGATACCTAGTAAATTTTTCAACAAGTGAATTCATATAATCAAAACTTTTTTTGGTTTTAAGATAAAGATCTATTTTTAATTAAAGTTAAAAAAATATTGTTATGAGTTATATAGTTTTTTGAATAGATGATTAGGTTAACATGTTTATTTTCTAACCGGTTTTATCAACTAGTTAGAATTTTTCACTATATTTGATTTTTACGATTCACTATTCTAATTTGTCCATTACGATCTCGTTATCACTGTATATCATAATCCTATTATCAAATATGATATTGTTTTCTCATATACAACCATCTTGTCAAGCTATATATATGCTATTATCTTTGAAATTAAAATTATGAGGATCATACAATCGATCTTGGCAGGGCAAACAGTACTTGTATCAATTGAAAAAGTCACATTTCTTGCAATAGTAGGGCCTTAGTTTAACAAATTTCTTGTCGGAGGTGTGAAATGATGATTGAAAGGATGATTGAGATATTTCAAAATGTAAAGTCTCGTTGTCAGATAAAATATTATCCTCCCGAAGCTTGCTATTACATGTTATACAGTACTTGTCTCATTAATATACCTTGCATATTCGACAATAATAGGTTAAAGGTAATTTTTGTCAAATATATTTACATATAAAAGAATACTGTAGGAGTGTGGATAAGTATTTCTGCTTGAGCCAAAGGCTTCGACATACAAGTACCAACTAAAATCGATAAGATTCCTTTTGAGTATAAAAATTAAATTCGCCTCTTCTTGAAAGGAGGTAGAGATTGTTTAGTGATTGTATTTATTTGTTGTTTATTTAATTTACATGTAAATAAAATTCTATCCAGTCATATAACTAGATAGATAAGTGTATAATACAAATAATTTGAAAGAAATATTTTGTTTGTTAAATATACTAGAAATAAAAAAAAATAAAAAATATCAGTTAAGATTCATTGTGGTCTCTGACCATCTGCTCTTCAAGATCGATAATTTGTCTATCAAGGTGTTAAGCAAGAGCAGTTACTATCCATTATGGCATGGTAAAAGTATTCTTCTTCTACAGTTAAATCTTAAAGTAATAAGGATGGCCTCTGTTCTTTGGAAATCTTTTTTCTATTTTTTTAAACTCAGCTTCCCTTGCATAAAGATATTTGGAGTAATCTCATATAAAATTTAATCATTTTTCCTCGTTAGGAAAGGTGGTAATAAATATATCTAGATCAATCTGTTTAGTGATATCAGAGTTTTTAAAGTTTAGATAAAACTCAAGCTTATCATTAAGATTAATAATAGTGTTTGATTTTGAGATCTTGTTGGGATACTCATCAATAGCCTCATCTTCATGTTTGACTTGTTCATTTGTTTGTTTTTGATTTTTAAAAGACATATTAATCATGTTTTGATTACTTCAGTTGATTTTGATTATTTGTTTAGTTAAAGTTTGGGTAATTTTAGTTAATTTGTTGTCTGTTTATTTGACTAATATTTATTTTTTTGTTGATGCTTGATCTAAGAAAGAATCAAAAAAGCTTTAACTAGTACAATCAATTATTGTACTGGTTAGAAATAAAATTATTTAAAGTATAATTTGTAAAAAAAAAACTAGATTTTTGAATGAAATTTTGATTTTATTAAATTTTTTTTTTTTTTTTTTTTTTTTTTTAATATTAAGGTGACCACTTAGGTCTCCGGCACTTAGCTTTATTCAGATAAATACGATATATTACAACAATTTCACGAGGATACAACTAGCCACACATGTACTTTTGGTACCTAATTTAAGTAGTCCACCTGGGTTCTACACTA